TCCCCCTTCTCTCTGTGCACACCCTTTTATCTCTTTCTCTTTCCCTTCCCTACCCCCCACTTCCCCCATGCCTACTCCCTTGCCCTCAATCCTTGGGGCTAGTGAACTCGCCCACCCAAAAGCAGCTTCCCAATAAACCCACCTTTAATATAACCTAATCTGGTTTGAGTTGGTTCATTTCACCAGCTGGGGAGAAGTAACCTATCACTTAGCCCATGCAGGTAAGACTGGCCAGCTCTTAGGGATGTGAGAAGAATCTGTAGCCTGGTGCTAGAGCTTTGGATACCCCAGAGGAGAGGCCAAGTCAGATTGCATGGCCAGGTGCATTTATTCTCTTTTATTTTATTTCTTCCCTTTCTGTTTCTTCACCTTTGGCCCTTCTTTCTCCAAAATAGGCCTTGGAGACCCCTCTAGTCTTCCTTCCTTCTCAGCCTTTGGCTCTAGGCGCCCCTCCAGAAATCCAGCTGTCTTCCCAGGCCCTTCTCCAGCAAAGACTGGCTTCATTTGCACCACATACACACACATAACACATACTCATGGGTCAACCTCAGACTAAAATTATCTTCTCCCCTGGGCAGGATGAAGGGCAGCCGACTCCCCAGGGAGGATAGAGACAGACAGCGCCAAATGGTTAACCCAAGAGAAGGGGCCAGGGCTAAAAATGGACAGGGAGGTGTTTAGAGGGCCCCTCGGGCTTCTACCCCCTCTTTGTATGCTAGGGGCAAGAGACTGCTGTTTAGGAGGTTCAGGAAGGGAAGGGTAGGATGGGGAGGAGCTGGAGACCAGGGCTGGGGCTTGGGGTGCACCTGGAGGGCTTTGGGCTATCTCTGTCTTAACAGACCTCCGTTCAGGGGTAGCTTCACCCACAAGCTGCATATTCATCTGTTTTTGTCACCTACCCTGAGGCTTCAGCTGTGGGTTCTCAGTTGGGGTATACTCTAGAAGGATGTGCCTTTAACAGGCTGCCCCTGGCAGCTTGGCAAAGCCAGGAGCTGTCTGAGGCTTACCAGTAGGGTGGGACTGAGTGACTCTGGGGCCCTGGGTTCCATCTGGCTCCTGGCTGCTTTCAAACAGGTGTTCAGTGGAAAGCGGCTGGAGGCTGAGTTCCCTTCCCATCACTCTCAGAGTACCTTCCGGAAGCCCTCCCCCACCCCAGGGGGCCTGGCAGGGGAGGGGACCCTGCAGAGCCTCACCTGCCTCATTGGGGAGAAAGACCTGCGCCTGCTGGAGAAGCTGGGAGATGGCTCCTTTGGTGTGGTGCGGAGGGGTGAATGGGATGCACCTGCAGGGAAGACGGTGAGCTCTGGGGTGGGCACCTCTCCCCTTCCGTCAGGAGACAAGTAATTACGGACACGTTGTAAAAAGTACTCACCTTTTGAAGCATACTCAGGTTTAACTGAGCACAGTGTTTTTTTTTTTTTTTTCAAGTCTAAAAATGGTTTGCTTACTATGAAAGATTGGACACTGAAAAATGAAAAGCCAAGGGCTGCGGTTCCCAAGCCTGGCTGAGGTAGACCTGCAGTGCCCTCCCCCATCCCCCGCCCCAGCCTCCACAGGGATTTTGTTGAGTTCAGTTAAGATACAGTTTTGTTCTGAGACAGCATCTTGCTGGGTAGACCGAGATGGGTTTGAACATGCAATGACAGAGTATTTTCTGTCCCTTTATCCTTCCTTCCTTCATGGTTTTGGATTAGCCTTGAAGCAAGTGCTGTGCCACTGAGCTGTGTCTCCATCACTAAGATATAAATTTGATTTAAAATTTTAAGCTACAGCCTTTTTTCTCTTAATTGTATTAAAATTCCCTAGTGGATAACCACACACAGACACACATGTGCAGAGTGGAGAGGGGGATGCAGACTATCTTAAATATATGTATGGGCAGACACTTCCCAAACAGTATGTTAATATTGCTGGTACTCAACAGGACCTGTCAAGCCCTGGCCACTCAGCACCCTTTCCAAGGGAGGCTGCTGTTGGAACCTGTAGTTCCATAGATTATGGCATTAAGGTTAAACTATATTACTGTTCTGTCTTATATTGCACATCTCTTAATTTATTGCCACTGCTAATTTAGAAATTTTCCCAGAAAGAAGAGGCCCACATTTATTGACCCCTAGAGGTCAGTCGCTGCCATCCCCACGCAGTGCAGGGACGCAGTGTAAACTGATGATATGCTTACCCACTCAGACGAACAGGTCTGACACAAGGGGCTTTGCACTGAGTTGGAAGGAGCAGCTAGCTCAGTGTTGGGGACCGTGAAAAGTCTAATGCCCTGCTGACCCCTCACTGGGCAGGTGAGTGTGGCCGTGAAGTGCCTGAAACCTGATGTGCTGAGCCAGCCAGAGGCCATGGACGACTTCATCCGGGAGGTCAATGCCATGCATTCGCTAGACCACCGAAACCTCATTCGCTTGTATGGTGTGGTGCTCACACCACCTATGAAGATGGTGAGCGCTTGGGTAGGAGGGAGGGTCAGAGGGCAACCTGCAGCTCTGGGCCCTGAGCTGTGCTCTTCCTCCTGTCACATGTGGCAGAGGGGTTTACCAGGGACCTGCCTAGTACTGCTCATTGTCAAGGAGATGTGCCCATAGGAATGGCTGGCCCTTGGCTTGAGTTGATGTTTGGAGTTACTAGCCTGGGCCTCTTTAGTGTGCTTTATTCTGGTGCTTAGGTTCTTGGGATGGCTGAAGGGACAGGACAGGCCTTGAATGCTCATGGTAGCTCTCAACAGACAGGTCAGAAATGAGCATTGAATACAGCTATGGCCGACCTCCAGAAAGAGACTGGAAACTTTGCCTCTCAGAGAGTGACAGAGATCTGTGGAATTTATCCTCTTTGTCTTCTGCATGGCCTCAGGTGACAGAGCTGGCACCTCTGGGATCTCTGTTGGACCGACTACGTAAACACCAAGGTCATTTCCTCTTGGGGACGCTGAGTCGCTACGCTGTGCAGGTGGCTGAGGGCATGGGGTACCTGGAGTCCAAGCGCTTCATTCACCGTGACCTGGCTGCTCGAAACCTGCTTTTGGCTACCCGTGACCTGGTCAAGATTGGGGACTTCGGACTGATGCGAGCTCTGCCCCAGAATGATGACCACTATGTCATGCAAGAACACCGCAAGGTGCCCTTTGCCTGGTGAGGGGCAAGTGTTGCTGGCTCATGGGGCCTGAGCTCCACTTCACTCTCAGCAGACCCACGCCTCCAATTTCTGGGGCCTCTGTTACCCACACAGGACTGTCGGCCTCAGCCTGTCCTTGCCATTTCTGGGCCTGGGTGCCTTTCTTTACATGTTTGCACATCCACCCAGGGAATTCTATCAGGATATTGGAAGGCACAGGAAATCCAAAGGGCATGTACTTTGGTGGGTTATTAAAAGGCTTCCTGGAGGACTTGCTGTTAAGTTTAAAATGTATGGCAAGTAGCCAGGCCAGAGTGGTCAGTAGGCTTATCTGTGTAGAGCTGGTGGCAGGCCGGAATAGATTGTGCCGTATCTTGTAGGCAGTGGCTAGTGATGCCCACATGCATGCCATGGTGATACCTGGCCTGCCTTGGGTCCTGGTTGGGCTGATCCTTTGCTGACATCGTGGAGTCTCCTAGTACCAGAGGTAGCTAAGGGGTATCAAGGAGGGGTCCCAAAGAAGCCTTCCCTTTGACCCTTATCTTTTGCCAGGTGTGCCCCTGAGAGCCTGAAGACACGGACTTTCTCCCATGCCAGTGACACCTGGATGTTTGGGGTCACATTGTGGGAGATGTTCACATATGGCCAGGAGCCCTGGATTGGCCTCAACGGCAGCCAGGTGATGGGGGGTAAGGGGTAGGTTCCCCATAGGGTGGGTGGGAGTAATCCATCCTTGGTTTCCAACCTGACCCTGTTGGAACTGGTTCTTTTCTGATAGACTCCCATTTCTTGCACACCCCGTGTTGACAATGGGATCTCTGAGAAAAGGGGTAGCCCAGGATGTCCCAGGACAGGCATGGGGGTAGGAGGACATGGATGAGAGATGGGTCCTGGGCAGGGCGAGGGCTGGAAATAAAGGTCTCAGGCTCTGGGAACGGAGCCTTCTTTAGGGGGCGGGCATGTTGGAAAGCTCAGAGGGAAAGCAGGAAGTGAAGAGGCAGGTGCTCTGCTGCCCCTAACCGCTGCACCACCCTGCCTGGCAGATCCTACATAAGATTGACAAGGAGGGAGAGCGCCTGCCCCGGCCTGAGGACTGCCCCCAGGACATCTACAATGTCATGGTCCAGTGCTGGGCCCATAAGCCAGAGGACAGACCCACATTTGTGGCCCTTCGGGACTTCCTGCTGGAGGTGAGGGGCAGATCTACCCACAATGGCGGGGGAGTGCAAGCATGTGGGGCAGTTGGAGGCTTAGTCCTGAGCTGAGCAATGACCTGTTTCTGCCCCCAGGCTCAGCCTACTGACATGCGAGCCCTTCAGGACTTTGAGGAGCCAGACAAGCTGCACATCCAGATGAATGATGTCATCACTGTCATCGAGGGAAGGTAGGGCTGTGGGCTGCACTGCCTCCTGTAGAGGGCAGGAGGTGGAGAGGTATGCAGACCTCTTCTGCTCCAGGAGTCCGTCCCATGGCAGCACGCAGGCAGGAGTGGGCAGTGTTGGACATGACAGGCCTCACACTGCTGAGAGCCACTTCGGTGGGATTTTCCCTGCCTAACCCCAGCCCCACTGCCCTTTTCCACAGGGCCCCAGCTCTGGCTGTGTGTGTATTAGGGCCCAAAAGCCCTGTGCTGAAGATTAGGCTGCGTCTCAGCTTGGCCTCAGAATTGGAGGCCAGACTAGAACTGCTGAGTGTTTCTCATTCTCCTCCTCTGATGTCTCCAGCATAGGATTCCCTCAACACCGCCACCAGGGTTCTTGAGAGGTCTTAAGTAGCTCAGGCTGGCCTCAAACTCCTCATCCTCCTGCCTCTATCTCTCAAGTACTAGGGTTGTAAGGGTGAGCTGCCATGCCCCATGCATAGGAGTCTGACCATTTCCCTTGGTGCCTTTCAGACCCCCAGGCACCCTCGCCCTGCTCAGCCTCATCCTTTTAGCAACTTTCCATCCCTCCTGTTGAGCCTCCCAGGGTTTCCTAGTCACGGACCCCTCCATCCACTGCCTGGACCTCCTCTCCCACTCCTTTCCCAGCCCTTTCTGGTAAGGACTGCTGTGTGACTGACCAGCTTAAAACTCTAGCTTCCCAGGCAGCATCCCTTGATTGAGCTTCCTGCCTGCATCCCCTGCCCTGGCCCCACCTTCTGCTGGCCCTTCCTCCAGTCATCTGATCCCCAGTGTCTGAGGAACTGGCTGGGGCCTCGGCATCTCTGCTTTGGGACTGTGGGTGAGTGTTGAGGACCAGGAAGAAAAATGAGACACAAGGGATTCCCTGGATGCTCCTCCTCTGACTCAGAACTGGGTCAGGGTGCCCGCAGGGGGCCTTCAGTGTATCTGCACCTTACTGGGGTTAGTGAGTCTCAGCCTGAGTCAGTGGAATGGTCCCTGGGTGTCTTGGATTTATCTGTACCCATTGTGGCCCCTGTTCCATTGCTGCAGGTCAGGGCTCGCGCTCATGTTGAGTTCATGTTCCATCCTTGGAACAAGAATGATGTTCTAGCAGGTTACAGAGAATGGGAGTTGGTGGAGATAGGAGAAAGAAGAGAATTGTTAGGTAAGACATGGAAACAGGAAGGAGCCACGTGTGGGTCTGGACCTGAGGGGGAAGGAAGAGGTGTAGGACATAGTACTCTGGAAACAGCCTGAGAGAGAAGAGTGGGGCTGGGTGGGAGCTTCCTTGGCAGTACCTAGCAGAGACTTAAAAGTTGGCCTGTAGCCATTCCTACATACTAGAGCCAGAAAGCCCTGGATCCACCTCCATCCTGCGCTCCTCTGGCCCCAAGTCTTTACCAGTCCTGTTTTTGCTCCATTTGGAACCTATGTTCCCTGGGGACAACTCAGAAGCTTCCTGTGTGTCTCTAGAAGTGGTGCCCTGGGTCACTGAGAGCAAAGCCAGCTGCAGGAGGGGCAAGGGAGTGGCTCTTCCTGGGAGGCTGTCCTGGGTGCACCCTGTCCTGCCCTTCCGCCCCAGGCTCCTGTTGGCTTCAGCTGCTAATACTGCCACAGCGGATGGTTCAACTTCTAGAATGCCTTCCTCTGAGGTGTCCGCTCTTACTTGGTCCCTAGAACTGCTCAGGAGGTGGGAGGTGAGAGACACGAGCCCCAGCAGCCTCTTGAGCCCTTGGGTGGGCCTGTGTGTCTGGGGTTACTGGAGCTTTCCTCTACCTTCTCACCCCTGGATTGCTGTGTTTGTTTGCCTGCCTCGTCTCCATGTCTCCAGGTGCTTGGGCTTTGTCTCGTTGGGGTTAGGTTTGTCTGTGTAACTCTCTCTTCCTCTGGCTTTTGACTTCCTTATCTCGGCTCATAGCCTTGGATTTCTCTTTTCTAAAACTGTCTTTAGTATGTTTCCTGGTCCCAACTCTATGACTGTGTAGTCTCAGACTCTGTAAGCTCAGTCTATAAACTCAGTCCTCAGGGTTTGGGGTAGATAGAGGATTCCTAAGTTTTCCATGAGCTGGGTCTAGGGGACTCTATCTAGACTGGGAGGTATGCTAAGAGCATGGTGGCACATGCCTTTGGTTCCAGCACTAGGGAGGCAGAAACAAGAGTATTTCTGTGAGTTTAAAGCCAGCCTGATCTACAAAATGAATTCCAGGACAGCCAGGGTTACATAGAGAGATGCTGTCCACAAAAAAACAAAACAAAAACTAAAAAAAACAGACTTGAAGATCTAAGTGATGATTGGCCTCTCCTGGGGGTCTTTATGTGGAGGGCACGGTGGCTCACAGCCCCTTTGTGTGGTTTTTCAGAGTAGTATTGAGTAGAGGCAGAGGTTTTGAAATCCATTGGCAAGTTCTTGGCCTGGCCTGGCCTGTGGTAGAAGGGGTGGAAGGCTTTGAGTCTGTGCCCTCGAAGGGACAAGGTAGGATTATATGTGGTGAGCAGAATGTTTGGGTAACATCTCTGCCTCGGTGCATTGGAGTACACGAGTACCTCAGGAGGCACCCGGGGAAGTGAGGGGCTGCCTTGTGGAGGAGCTGCTGGTGTTGGGAGAGGAGCCCGGGGTGTGGGGCAGGCCTTGCTGCCCTGTGCTCTCTCTCCATGGGCAGCTCTGTGTGTGCTGAGGTTCCTTTCTCTCCTTGGAATAGACCTGCTATTTTCAGATGAGACTTTTCCTTCTCAGGGTGTTGTCCTTTCTCCTTCCTTCCTTCCCTGCCCTTCCTACCCTAAAGGCAGGGAGTAATCACAGGGTGGCTGTGGCTGTGGTGGGCCAGCACGCAGCCTTGATGACCAGCAGGCAGCTGTGGCAGTCCACAGCACCTCCCCAGCTCCTCTGGTGTGGCTGTGTTTCCCAGGAGGCCCTCTGGCTCTGGGACAGATGATGAAGGTGAGGAGACAGGCAGTAGTGGTGTGGTTGTGTCCCAGCAGCGTGGCTGCTCCAGCTGGTGCCTCAGCCCAGAGTCTGCCCACATTGTCAGGTATGAGCAGCAGATGCAGGGGCCTCCGCAGTCAGCTTCAGGGAGTGTGGAGTGCCCAGAGAAAGCTGTATTCTTTCCCACTTACTTGCTGTGTGGACCTCAGCTTGGGCTTACACTAGGTCAGGTCCAGGTTTGCTAACGATTTGTCTGCAGAGTTGGGGACTGAGATCTTCACGGTTCACCATACTGGGAATTCTGAGTTTCCCTTCTGGACCCCTTATTGTAAGGCAAGGACAGGCCTTGTCCTGAGATGGGGAGGATGGCAAGGCTGGATCCCCACAGCTCTGCCCTCTGGTGGAAGAAAAGGCCTGGGTTTCCATGTGTTCTACATGTTGAAGATCTTCATGGGAGGGCCGAGTAGAAACTGGAAAGCATGTTCCTAAACTTAAGGGATCCTTTTGGCTACTGTATCACTTAAAATTCCTAGAGCCCTGCCGAGGAGTGAATCTAGTGGCCCTAAGGAGACAAGGCCAGGCACTGACTGGAGGAAGGGGACAGGTGCATTGTGAGAGCGCCCTGGTTTGCAGGCTTAATTGATCTGGGTACTGGGTCTGCTACGATCGTTCTGGTCAATGTACTGCCATGTCCCCTGTTTCCTTATTTGTAGACTGTAGGGAAAGCCACTGACTTACCCAGAGGAGCTTAGGCTAAGACTGAGCAAATAGCCAGGCCCTCTTCAGGGAGGGGCAGATTATGTTGTTGCTGTTGGGGAGAATGGACTGGTGGCTGGACGTGAGGTCTTATCTGCAGTGCTTCTCCTGCCAAGGTAATCAGATTCCATGAGCAGGGTCCTTTGGATGAGAAGGGTCCCTTCATCTGGAGTCACTACTTCCACCTCCCATACCTAGTATTCACCACGCTGTCTCTGTCACACAGGGCTGAGAACTACTGGTGGCGTGGTCAGAACACACGGACGCTGTGTGTAGGGCCCTTCCCTCGAAATGTGGTGACCTCTGTGGCTGGCCTGTCAGCCCAGGACATCAGCCAGCCTCTCCAGAATAGCTTCATTCACACAGGGCATGGCGACAGTGACCCCCGCCACTGCTGGGGGTTCCCTGACAGGATTGATGAGTGAGTATCTAGAGAGACGTCGATGACCTGGTCCTGTGCTCCTGGGACTTGTAGACCCTCAGCACACTGCACACAAGCTCTCATAGGCTGGGTAAAGGTTGGAGGTATGTTCCAAATAAAGTGCTCTCAGAGCAGGCAGCACCAGGAGCTGCTGAAGGCTGTCCCTGAGTCATTTCCCACACCAGGGCACCAGGGTCAGTTAAGGCTGTTGCCTGTTGGCTTTTCCACCAAGTGCAATCCATCATGGATGTTTGGGCGGTGAGACAGCCTTTGCCCCTTGGCTGTGGACACCTGCAGAAGGTGTCCCATACCACATCCTGGTGCTTACACACACTGTCTCCTAACCCAGGCCTGTGCAGACATTGGTGCTTCAGCCTGCGCATGCACACACTTCTCTCTCATGACAGGTGCCAGTAACAGGCACAGATAGGATCTTTTCCCATCCCCGGGCTTCTCATCGTCCTCAGGATCCTGCCTCTGGTGTGGCTCCCAAGCCACATGCATTTCCTCACTGTGTTGTTTCTTCTGGGCCGTGGTGCATGCCCTCTGCTCGTTCCCTTGTGATGTCTCCCTACACAGTGCGTGGGTAGATGTGCAGGTGTCTGAGCAGGGAAGCAGAGGTCTGCCTCGCTCTCCTCCCCTCGCTCCACGCTGCAGGTTCTCAGCCTCCCTGTGCTGCTGTGGCTTTTGTTCCAGAAGCTCGCCTACTAGACAAGAGTCGGGAGCAGAGGCAGGTTGAGACAAGGTGTAGGTGCCAGAGGAGGCCCAAACCGGCTGAGTGCTGAGGATGCTGGGGCGGGGAGGCCAAGGCAGGCCCTGTGGGCCCTCGGCAATGCACTCTCCCCAGTACAGCTCTGCATGTCTATGGGGCAGAGTGTCTCTGTGCGCAGCTTCCACTGAAGTAAAACCTAGGTGAGGAAACCCCAAGGATGAACTCATTCTTACTAAAAAGTCCCATCACCCCACAGAGGAGACTCCACCTTCTGACACATGGGGAGACACTTGGGAAGCAGTTCTCTCGGGACACCTGCATCTCCTTCAGGGATTTCCAAGGTGTAGAGCCCTGAAGCTATGAGACCAGCGCTCATGTCTTGTATACAGGCCCAGGCAGGAGTGAGCTTACTTCCCAGGACTGGGAGCAGGCCTGGAGGGAACTTAGAGTAGCTACCCTGCTCTGTGCCCAGAGCACACTCTGCTGGAGGGATTCCTGGTCTCCTTTTGGTAAAGGGAGATCACGGAGGCATTTGGGGAATACAGAGTCAGGCTCTTCTTGGTGCCCTGTCCATCCTAGTTGGCCTCTGTCAGCTCTCCTGCTAGCCCCCCATGCCTCCTCCTGAGACTGGTAAAACAGGCCTTTGTTCTCCCATGTCCCACATCCCTAGAACATCAGGCCTTGGCCTCACAGGAACCAGGTAAAGGCTTATGAAAGTAGGAGGAGGGGAGGGGAAGGGTGGCCCTTGCAGCTAGAGGCCTGCACCCTCTATCCCACTTGTGTTTTGCCTGAGCCAGCCTGCCTCATTCTTCCAGGCTTTAATCAGCCTTGGTGACTAAGTCCCAGATCCCAGATGGCATAGGAGCTGGGGTGAGTCAGGGAGCACGGGGAACACACTGCACAGCTCAGCGTCCTCCCGGACTCCTGTAGTTCAGCAGGAAGCTGCCTCCTGCCCACCCTTCTAGGGGCTGACAGCAGATGTCCAGTCTCCCAGAGGGTCTATAGAGGAGTGTGCCAGCAGGTAGACACCTGGCATAGGCTGGGTGCTGCCAGTTATCAAGGACCAGCTTTGTCCTTGTAAGGTACTGGAGCCCTGGAAGGCAAAGGCTTCCCAGCCTGGTTCGGTGCTTTCCCCATGGTAGGCACACCTGGGTGTAGGGATTAGGATGTGTATAGACACAGGAGGCTGGGAGCCTTGGGACTCAGGTCTGCCGCTCAGTTTCCTCTGAGATATGTCTTAGTCTTTGCATTGTCCCCTAAACACTCAGGAGGGGTGCATGCGTGCGTGTGTGTGTGTGTGTGTGTGTGTGTGTGTGTGTGTGTG